TTACCTGGTACCCAGAAAGCTTTCTGCAAAACAGCCAGCAGGGAGACCCCCACTGTCAGCCTGGGAAGGTAAAAAAGCAAAAGCTTTGTGCCTGCATCACAAATTCAAATTTTTGCATTCAAGGGCTTCTCAACTAACATCTGCTCATGAATGCAGAAGAGTGGCAGCCGTTATTATGGAGGTCACCTGGCAAGGCAGGCAGAGCAGCTTGGAGCAGGGGAGCTAGACATACGGCGCTTATTAGGAGCCAAGACATCTTGAGAAGGTGGTGAGACGCAGAGTCCCAATAAAGAACTGTCCCTGCCATCAGCGGAGGTGACCCCGAAACTGAGGGCTGACCTTCAAGAAAACCAGCTGCTGTCAAGTATAGTGACCCTACAGGACAGAGTAGAACTGCCCACAGGGTTTCCAAGGCTGTAATCTTTACAGAAGCACACTGCCACATGTTTATCCCGTGGAGTGCCTGGTGGGTTTGAACCGCCAAACTTTTGGTTAGTGGCGGAGCACTTAACCACTGCACCACCAGGGTTCCTTTGCCTTCAAGGAACAGTATAAAAGGCCACAAAGAGAAAAGCATGCCTTTCATTTCCTTCTCCAACAGGGAAGGCACACAATTGTGCCTGTCCATACAGTGCTCTAGCCTTGTATGGGAGCTTGGGCCTGTTTCATAGGGACCATGTCATATTCCATTCTTCCTGGACTGTAGCCATGTCTGTCATACAGCAGATGCTCAACAAATGCTCACAGAAGTGAACCGAGTTGTTGAAGTCCTCTCCTCCACTGATGTGCAATACTCTCCTACAAACAAGCTTTTCTTCATGCAGGGAAATGTTTCAGGGCCCTTCAAAATGAAGCGAGGTGTAAGGAGGTAGTAACAGTGGAGGCCAGCCAGGCTACCTCTAACTTGTGATAAGCGAAGTCTGCCAACTTATGAATCAATTTTAGAAGGTGCTTCTGAAACATTCAGAAGGCTTCAAAGGGACTTACAATTTCTAACTTATAAAGCAAACCTATTCTTTTGTTCTCTGACCTTCATCAGCAGGCTAACCTGAAAGGCATAAAAGAGCTTTGGTTCTTAAGAAGAATTTTCTTAGTACTGTTTGCTCTAATAAAGAAAAACCATTCCAAGTAGTGAGGTCTTTACAAAGCCCCCAACAGGTAAAGATGTCTGCAGAGCAGAAGCCTTGAGTGAAACCTGAACAAACTCTCACTCTGGTGAGAAGTATTAGAAGACAGAGACAATCCATTGCCAAGATGTGACAGACCTTTCCTCCATTTGCCTTTGAAAAAAATTAAAGTAAATGGCTATCTCAAAGTTTTGCCAATGCGTTTAAATTCTGGAGTTTTAATGAAAAATAAAGCAAGAGGTTTTCCAGAAATTTCCTTGCTCTGAGACGATTTCTTCTGTGAATTTCTTGGGTTGGTGCAGAATCTGTGCCAGAACTTCATCACCACCAAGGATGTACGTCATGCTCAAAGTCTCATTGCATCTTCTCAGGCCGTCTCAGGGGATAACTGGGTCGAAGGCAATGACCCTGCTGGCACCAAGTCACAGGGCTTTGACTAGATAAGACCAGCCAGGTGTGCCTGGCCCAACCTCTCATTGTAAGGTTCAACCCCCCAAACTGTCAGACCTGACTCTGAGATAGTGACAGTTAAATAAAGAAAGGAAAGTTTGCAGTTGAGCATGAACACTCTTCTGCCTGGTAAGGCTCCCCATCAGATCTTCAACTGGCTGGACCGTTCTCATCATGCAGGTCTCCATTAGATGCCACCTTCTCAGGAAGGCTCTCCTTGACCACCCATCCTAAAGTGATTCTACTCCCCTCTACTCGTCACTCTCTCCTTTTCTGGTTTTATTTTTTTCATAGAACTTATCTTTTTTAGTTATTTGTTTACATATTTATTTTGTTCACCCCTCAACTAGACGTGGGCCCATAAGAAGTAGGCCATAGTCTGTCTTGTTCATTACTATATTCCCAGACTCTGGAATAGTGCCTGGCATCTAGTAGGTGCTCAATAAATGTGCTGAACATTTGATTACCAAGACAGTTGTTAAGAAAAGCATTTCCCTTGCAAGGGAGCTGTTAGAATGAACCACATGGTACCAGGAAGTCAATGGCTTAGCATGATTTAGTACTAAAGACAGAGATACTAGATCTTTTTTCTAGGTTCTTCTCCCCATTTCAACCAGGGTAGAGTCTCTAAGTCATGGTTTGGCTACCAGTCCAGTCACAGATTTCTATGGGTCTATGGGAGATCCAAAGAAATGACTGAGAAATGGTCGACATCACTTAAGTAACAAGAGATACAATCTTGTTATTCCCACAGAGTTAAAGCTTGGAAAAACATTTCCTACTTTCCAAAGAAAAAAGAGTCAAGAATTTTATACTATAAATACTATATTTATACTATAAATACTAAAATTCTATACTATAAATTATTAAGGCAGAAAACCACAAATTTGCCACTTCCATTTTGGTGAGAACAAAGTATGTTCGCACATTCTTCCTATCGCACCTGCTCTGGCCTGCCCAGTAGAAACACCTTCGCCGAAAAGCGTAAATGGGTTAAGCATAATCTTTTAAACAATAAGAGGTGGTAAGTGCCATCCTCTACAATTGGCAGGAAGCATTTCCAGCTAATTTAGGAAATTCAATAATAATTGTAAATGAGTAAGTCTAAAGAGGTTTTTTACCTTGTCAACATTTCTGTGAAATATGAAGGTAAAACATTAAGTTGAAACACAACAAAGTAATAAATAATAATTATTTTTCCATTCACTGGTCTGTTTATTAGAATGACAGTGGTACGATGTACTTCCCAACAGTCTTAATTTGGTTTTCTAGCCCCTTGAATTGTGTTTAAAATTCTTTTAGGCAAGCTCTAGAGCAACATAAATGAAGAATAGCACAAAAAATCATTAGGTATAAAAATCTACAACAAGATGACCCAACCATGCTTGAGTTAAAAACAAAAGGATCAACATTTTACACAGAAGAAATACACTGTTAAATCTATAAGGCATTCATTTTTATGGTAAAACAATCCCATTGCATCCATATAATCTTGTAATTAAGATTTAAATGGCTTTAAAATGATTAATTTGTACTGACTTATCAAAATAGAAGACATTGTAGTTGTAATCTTTCTGAATAGCAATAGTGTTTAAATTACAAACGCCTGGCTCATTATTTGCTCAAGAGCGAATGACAATTAGCTAGATCCTGCTGCAACTGTTAATGCTACTGGTACTAAAATAAATAGGCAGTACTGAATCAGATTTCTGACATTTCTCTTTATTTTACAATCTTCTGATTGATGCTATGTTCAAAATGTACTTAGTCATTTTAAGTCACCAGGAATGAGGAAAATGGCTCCCAAATAGCTCCAAAAAAAAAAAAAAAAAAAAAAGGTGATGCAGGAAGGATATTTCATGGCAAGCCCGGAGAATGAAATCACTATGAGATGAATCACGTTCTAATAATTGAGCCAGAAAGACGTCAAGCAAAATACGTAAGCCAGCCTCCAAAAAACAAACAAACAAACAAAAAAAGCCAAAGCAAAACAACAACAGGCAAACCTTTAGCCCACAAGAGATCTGATTTTACAGATACTGCCGTGGAGTATTAGAGACACTGCTAGAATAAAGCAACTATTTACAAGCTGGTTCTTAATCTCAATGCTCACATCGGAGCAAGCCTCAGGGAGGTTTCAGGTTTGGCACCATCTTCCTCCTAGCACACCTACAAAGACGTTTCGATAAAGGCTTAATGTGCACTTCTCAATGGGGATGGGCTTGGGTTGGGTCCCTCCCTACTGAGAGCCCTGAGCTTACCGATGGAGGGATCAGGGAGAACAAGAGCATAAGCTTTTTCTGGTTCTCAGAATTTCTGAAATATCTTTTGTTTCAGTGGCGCTGGTGAACTTGTGATAATGAAACTACACCTTTGTACACAAACCTTGACTAGCATTTTGGAGCATATTACAAAGAAAACCTTCGTTTTGACAGTAACGAGTAAAAAGAAGGAAGGAAAAAAGCTCTCATCACGCAAGGTTTCTCTGTAAGTGTAGAAATATGGCTTCATTTTTTAAGACTTAAAGCCCGCAATTAAAAACATCTAAAACCAGTTCAGACTCTCTATGAGAGGAAGAAGAACTGTAAAAATTTCATTAAACATTTGTTTCTTTTTTTAAGACCTGCTTTTGCATATCTGTTATTGCATTTTTAAACAGGATTTGGTTACCAAGGAAACATGTTCTGGCCCAGTGTTAATTTGAAACTAAAATATATTTGAGAAGTTATGCTCAAAGGAAAGAGCCCATGAAATTATTTTGAAAAGTGCCGAAATTTGGTGCCTACAGAACCACAGCTGTTTGGTCTGCAATCAACTATTCTAAAGGCTCAATGAGGCTCTGTTTCTTCTAACAGGGTCATCTATATTTAATATTTCCTCCTTTAAAAACTGTAATTCCTCAGTCCTTCAAATAATAGCTATACAACTAATGTCTTTCTTCTTGTATATCATCTAAAATTGATTTGGGAAGCATATGTCTTTATTTGAATCTTTAATATAACACGTCGAAAGACCGCTTTTTAAAATTTAAATATTTTTAATGTTTCTTGTGAAGCTTGTTTGCGTTGGTTGAAATTATCTCCAGAAATCCATTTATTTTTAGTTTCAAGCTAAAATGAAGCCGAATCAACAGACTTTTCAAAAAATTCTTTTGTTGTCTAATGGCGCCACACCTATCATATATATGAATTTTTTAAAGAAAAGAAACATCTTACTTTTATAGCAAAGTCATTTGATAAGTTTATAAAAGCTATACATTTATATAGCATATCAGCAGGAGAGACTATCCAATTTAATACCCTCCCCCCAAAAGATTACAACTGTCTCATTTAATTTCTGTTTTAAAAGTCATATTTTAATCCATCTAACATTCTTGCTGCACGGCTCCAAAAAAATCTATAAAGCATGCAAATTCCAACCTACCTGTATGTATAACTCAATGCAGTGCTAGCATGACAAGACACTCAGCCATTTTTATGTAAAGCGATGGAGACCAACTGATTTCTCCGTCTTCTTGCTCACAAGTTTTAGATGCAATTGTCACCAAAAAAAAAAAAAAAAAACCATACACAGAGCAGCTTGAATGTACTGTGATCACGAGAACTGAATTTATCAATAGGAAAACAAGATTGAAAAAAAGAAGTTCCTCTCATCCAACGTTTCTGAGGCTGCAACCAAGGAGGTGGTGTGTTGAATTGTTTTTCCCTTCCTCCTCTGAGAGTTCAAAGCCTGGAGCTGACCACTGCAAAGGCCACTGTCACATTTGCTGAAAATCAAACCACTGATACCAGCACTGAAAATACAAATTTGAGAACTCAACTTGTTTGCACACCACCAAGTGCACAAGAGTTAAAAATAGATTCCACCTTGCCTCCTACCTGCATAATAAATATGTAAGTTTCAAGTGTTTAATTTGATATTCACATTAATTAACAATACAACATACATTATTTAAAAGACAGCAAATGCAAGAAGAAAGGGGAGACACCATCTGGTAGCAGAGTTTTGTTGTTGTTTTTAGGGTTTCTTTTTTTGTGCCTTCGCTTAAAAAAAAAAAAAGGTAAAATCCTATTTTGAATGTGATGAAAGCAAACATCCAGAAGCAAATGAATTGGAACTGAAGGTGATGTTGAAATATCTAAGGCTGTAATGAGGCAAAAACAAGTCTTCGCTACCAGATGATATGGCATACAGAGCATTTACATACTCACATCTGAAATACTAGGCAACGTGTAATGAATTCTATACACAGCATGCACGCACAGCACAAGCACGGCTAATCCTGCCTGCCATCTTAGACTCGCGGAGGCAAGATACGCACTGCATGCAGCACACGAGCACTGGGGAAGGAGGAGGCAAGGGACAGCTCACCTTAAATGCAGTATCTGATTAATGTTGTAAGTGACATTGCGTATCAGCCTCAGAGTCTTGGTTTAACTGGGTAGGAGGGAACAAAGAAAAATGTCATCAGCTGGCGATGCAAGATGAGCCCAATCACTAAACACTGTTTAGCAAACTCCAAATTCTGCAACCAGGCAGTAGAAGGCATTTCATACACTTAAGCAGAGCTCCTGCACAATGAATGTGTCCTTCTGCTTCTGAGAAGCAAACAATCCTTTGGCTAAGGAAGAAAATAAGCTGGGATGAATGCTGTCATATCCTCTTCTTGAAGAAAGCTTTCAATACAGTATGTATCTGGTCCAGGATGCATTTTATAGACTGTTAATTTCATAGAATTGCTAACAATAACAATAAAGAAACTGTTAAGCTATTGCAAAGTAAAGAATAATTCTGAAGAAGGGTATAGAATGTCTGTTTTTCAAAATCCTAAATGGTGATGGCAAGCCTGTAGAAGAACGCATGATCAGCTGTCTGTATCAATGCTATATAACCTTCAACCACAAGCAGCGTAAATGCATCCTGCTAAATATATCTGCAGTACAGAACGGCAGATACTTCCTCAGATGGAATTTGATTAAAATGTGGATGAAATTTCTTAAACTTAGAAGCAGAATAAAATCAGTACAGAAAAATAAACTGGTACTGAGTTCCTTTGGATGCGTAACCGACTGTCATAACGATAAAAGCTGTCCTTAAGATACTGACCTAAATTATGCTAAGACTTGCAGCAGCGACTGTATTTGCTAGGAGCACAGAAAATGCAGAAATGATTTTTCTCCTCCCTCTCGCTGCAAGAGCTAAATTTTAAAGTAACAAACCATTAACAGGAATACCAAAAGGCTATATACATAGAACATACTGGAAGAGAAGAAATCTGTGCTGTGCTGAGAGGCAATGTTTCTTTGTTTTACTTTGAGGCTTATCTTAGCCACGCTTGCATGATGACATTGACATCATGGAGGTCAGGGCTAACACTGGGTGCTATCCGTTTTATGACAGAAATGTTTTCCGAAAATTAAATCTCATCTACTCGAACACCAAATTTCATGTCTTCTTCCACGCGACCTCCCTACCCCCACTGCTCAAGATTGATGGGATCTGGTTTGGCTGTATGTAATAGCCTTCTGTAGCGACTCCAATACATAATTGTGAGGAATTAATTTTTTAAATAAAGCCTTCAAGAATTCTTATGCACTCCCTTTTCGTGCCTTCCCATCAACACACACGCACACACACACAAACGCATGCTCATACACACAATTGAAGCTCAAATTGCAACGAAATGTTTAACATGTGGAACAAAAAATGTGGAGAGAAGAGAGCTGCTTATTCAGGATTTTTGAAGAAATGCCTAATAAGCAAATACTGTTTTGCTACAAAACCAGTGTCATCATGTCCCCAAAGAGAGGAAAACAGCATAGCTTGCTAGAAAAATTTTCTACAGACTCTGTCAGCAGGTAAAAAAAACAAAAAAGCATTTCATTTACTATGTTATATAAAACAAGAAGTCTTTTATTTTTAAGGAAATAGAACGGATTCTTTTCCACTCTTACTTCTTTAGCTGCAAAGAAACCATACCCACCCCTACCCTGAGATCCTGGACATAAGCCAACATTTTTATAAAATGCTATGATACTGATTTTGAATATATAATATTTACATTTTTTTCTTCTCTCTTCAAAAGTCTTTAATTGCCTACTGCATCACTGAATATGCTAATGTTAATTAATTTTAACGCAAGTGCAAACACGAATTCATATTTTCTGGGGTTGCTAGTTTTCCAGCACCTCTATCTTTTATAAGGACTGGCTAAAAATAATCAGGTTAGCAAAACATTCAAGTTCCCCAGAAATTATTTAAAGGAGAAAATGTATTCAAACATCTTACCGTACGTACTAGATTTCACTACTGGACCTTTGTTCCTAGCTCTCATTCTACCTCTTTTCCCAGAACACAAGTGATTTTTAGCTTAATGTGTGGAAAATACCTGGCACGCCTCTATTCCAGACACTTTAAAGTCCCTGAGTTGGTTGTCCAGATGATCGGTCATACCTGACCCACACCGAGTCCTCTTCTCTTTGGAGCCCACCTCTCCCCCACAAGTACTCCAGAAATAAACATAGCTCTAACAAAAACAGTGGTTCCTGGTCTAACATCGAGGGTGGAACCATCGTCCCCACCCCCACAATGCTGCTCTAGGAGCTCTGGTTAGCATTGACAGTGACGGAAAATTAGAATGGAGTGTCCTTAGGCCAATTCCTCCTTTACCATGGGGGTTGAGAATTAGAGAGACTATCATGCTGAGTTACAAGGTATCAATTTAACATATGGTCATCTATAAAGTAGGATTCTCAGACTGAGGAGGTTGAAGGGAACACATGGGCATTTGATGCTATGTGTCTATTGTGATATTCTCCATTAATGACATTTGAAAGCAAGCCTGAAATTCACATTTAAATACTCAGAAATTATTGTCATGTAGGCTAAATATGCACAATATGGGATCAACTCTGACCACATAGAACGAAGTCGCTTCCTCCTCTGTATGAGATGATAAATGACAGCGACAGCCAACAGTAATCCATATCAGGCCCCCACGAGATGAGTGAATAGCGTTATGTCCTCTTTGCAGGCACAGGGTGGTGAGTGTCGTCAGATGCCCTACCAGCACTTGTAAGCCAGATGCCAGGATGGACGCCCAGTTCACCAGGACAAGTGGTTCTCAAACAACCCTGTGGGGTTCTCTGTCCACCCTCTGTCAAGCTAGCCTAAAAGCCGTGAATTGGTTCGTTTTGTGATGTTCCAAAACACTTACTGAGCAAACGTGGCACGCTGACCAAAACTGCTTGTGTTAAACAAATTTGAACTGTAGTTGGAAGTATTCAGATGGATGAGCTTGTTTAGGCAGACATTCTCAACTAGTAAATCCTGTTTTGCACTTTTTAAAAACCGTGCTCATGCCGGAATTACCTAAGCTTTGTCATGATTACAAGTAACCAGCGTATGCATTCATTTATGATTTTAAAAAATTGCGTGCTCCTCATCAACCTCCTCAGGGTGTATGTGCAAACATTAATTTAAAAGACAAATCCCTTTCTACCGTGAAAATTTCAAACTGTTTCTGCCACTTAGACAAGTCAAGCACAGGGAACTCAAAATAATCTGGCAGGAGCAGGCTGGAGAAGGATAGAGCCTGCAGTGAGGGGCGCTTCTTTCACTGTGATTAATGTTCTTACTTGCTCACAGTCTCTTTCGTTGTTCTGCAGCCAGAGCTTTTTTTTTTTTCTCCCCCAGTCCTGTGGGTTAAAGTTAAATTTCATGACTTATGCGAAGTACATAATTCAAGTATGAAACAAAGCTTGACTCTCTATGTTTTGAAAAACACAAAGTCAGGGCACTGAGTTCCAGAAAAACCCGTGGTTTATAAACATTTGGATCGGTTTGTGTGTTTTTTCAGTGTTCACCCCGTTCACTGTTTTGTTTTTTTAAAACAGTGGTTTCCTTTCACACGGATATAGATAATCAACATTTGTGGGTAAATTTATTATCAGGCTAGACTATTCTAACCTAGATTTAAAAAAATCAAATGTTTACCAAATATAAAATGTTAATTTATTCTTAGAATTGAAAAAGCTTAAAAATTTTTCAAAGGTTGACAGTATATAGTATATACAGTATATTCAGTCATGAAAACAATATGGTGGCTTAATTTATCAATGATAAAAATACCTTTGGATGTTATTTTAGCCAAAAACCTCTGGAAAGTCCAAAGCTACTTTGAGCATCTATATCTTGCGTAGAGATCTGGGCAAGAACTTCTGCTTTCTACCTGTATCGGAGCTAAAAGTCTGTAAGAAATCCATCGCCATCGAGTCAATTCTGACTCATAGTGACCCTACAGGACAGAGCAGAACTGCTCCATAGGGTTTGCAAGGAGCAGCTGGTGGATTCGAACTGCCAACCTTTTCGGTTAGCAGCCGAGCTCTTAACCACTGCGCCACCAGGGCTCCAAAAGTCTATAATAGCCACCATTTATTGAGCAGCTACTATATACTCAATGTTTTAGCTATATTATATGATTTAATTCTAACCCAATAATCCTGCAAGGTGGGTATTAACTGCCACCAATTTTCAGGTGAGGAACTAATAGAGCGTACTAGTCACACCAGTAGGAGTCCCTGGGTGGTACAAACAATTAACAAGCTTGGCTGCAAACTGAAAGGTTGGAGGTTCAAGTTCACCCAGAGGCACCTTGAAAGAAAGGCCTGGCGATCTACTTTGGAAAAATCAGTCATGGAGCAGTTCTACTCTGATATACATGGGGCCGCCGGAAGTTGGAACTGACTTGACAGTACCTAGTTAGTCACACAGTTAACTGGTAAATAGCAGAGCCTTGATTCAAACCTAAGTCCAACTGATTCCAAAGTCTGGGTCTTTCTACCAACCCTAAAAGGATAAAACCACCTCCATCTCCACTCCATCCCTGATGTCAGGAGTCTTCTTACTGTGCAGACACCCGGCAGAGGGGAACCCTGCTCCCTGGAGTCCAACTCCCCGTTTATCCAGTCTCTACTCCCCAGGCCCCAGAACTGTGGGCACCTAGGATACCACCAACCAGAGAGAGGCTGGGGACCAGCAGGTGGAAAAGACAAAACAAAGGAGGAGGAATTAACTGGGCCATATTGGGAGGTTAAGGTAGAAAGTACAGTAGTATATTCTGGTGGGAGATTTGTTCTAATTTAGAAAAGTTTTATAAGGCAAAATAAATGGAAACAAACCTTAAATTTACATCTGAACAAACTCCTTGCAGATAACAACTAGTGAAGTCTAATCTTTTCATGTTACAGAGGAGGAAAGTGAGGTTGGGAGTGGCCTGATGATTTGTGCAAGGTCACATGCTTAATAAGTGAGTTTATCCATTCACTGTATTAAAAATCACACATGGCTTCCTTTATATCTA